CACCTATTTAAAAAAGCGATTTGGTCTTGAATATGAGACAATGCTAAAACTCTTTGTTTCATTGCCTGAAAAATGAAGGGAAAATCAGGAAAATATCACAGAGTACTGAATAAAGCATAAGTAATAAAGTAGTAACTACTAGTAAGACTTGTTAACAGTCCAAGGTACATGATGTAAGTACTGCTAGTGACAAGCATATCGGTAGTCGGAAGGTTACTCGGGGTCAAAGGGTGATTGACCTTTCCTGTTGAAAGACATAACAACTGCTTCTTTCTGATTGATATAAGGGGTGGGGGGACTAAATATTCATAACTCGCAGTAAAAATGTCCGAGCCTGAGATTTGAGATTCGTGGTTATACCGACGGCTCTTCCTTTGGGGAGCAAGTGAGAGGAGAGAGTGTGCTGTAACTAAGGAGGATGGCACCCAGGATAAAAGGAAGCGCCGTTTTTCTTATTTTTTAAACATCCCTCCTCACTCACATTTTCTCCCATTTTACCTGCTGAACTTTCAGGCAGTGATAGAAGTTATTATTCTATACTAGTAGTTTAAGAGCTGCTTGTGTATACGTAAGCCCGTAAATGTGAGTTTTGCACTTTTATTCCAGGCGAGGCAGATCGCCACTTGGCGATTTCCCCTTGTAGTAAGTTGTACGTACGTAGCTGCCCACGTACATATACTGACGTTGGATTCATCATTAGTTTTCAGTCAGATGAATCATTAGTTTTCAGTCAATTACTAACGTTTGAAAGTTGCCTTGGGGATAGATACAAACAAAGGAAGGCGCAATACACACATGGCACATCACAACCCACCTACCCACGCACATATGTATCTAAAGACTCAAGTCAAATTGTGTGCCTGATTGGATCATTATACCTAATGGGCCCAGAGCTGTAGCAGAGTTAACCGCTTTTCAATAGGCACAGTTCAGCTCCTGGTAAACATGATTTATAATTGCTGACTGGGATAAAAGACGGAGAATGACTGACGCACGATTCATCATTAGTTTTCATTGACGTTTGAAAGTTGCCATGGGGATTAACACAAAGGAAGGTGTAAATACACACGTTAACAAATGTCTTTGGACGTAATGTAATGTTGTTGATTATGTGTAATGACGTACAACCAGGGACAGTTTATAATGAAATAACACAAAAGAGATTCTGGACCAACATTTCGGTGATAATTGCCAATCAGCTAACCCTTTGTTCATTGGCAAGCCACTGTGCCTGCAGCATCAAAACTGCTATGGGACTACTCTTTTGTTCTTCATTGAACCAAGGGAGAAGACATTTTATAATTCTCCTCCCGGCTTCTCCTAGGTCTGTATTAAAGAAGTACATTAATAAGCAGTGAAGGAGAAAAATGTTATGAACAAAGCGGGGTTGGGCAATTCAAATTAGAGAACCTTGGAGATGAAGGCATTATAGGACAGGGACAGTTTACTTGGGTTCGTTTCTGTTTATGTAACCATGTATCCATCTTAACTGTACCTAGATCTTTTACTGGTTTTGTAGTTGTACAAGTCCTTTGATTATTTGTGCCATATTTCGTGTTTTGATTTTGGAAGGTAATCTGTAAACAATGATTATGGAAATAAGAAATTGCAAATGTCACGTTACTGTCAAAATTACGGTAAATTGGAAAGATTCAAAGCAGATACATTGTACCATACCTCCTTCTTCAGAAATTTAGAAAAACTGGTAAGATTTGTCACTTCAACAATCTTTCTGACAATGACTTCATGTTATTCCATGCACACACTGATATATTTACGTCCCATACAACTAGGAGACTTTCTTTGAGTTTAATGAGGACATACAAAGTCTTGCACAACAGTTTATTCAGGAAAAAAACCTTAGATGCTATACACGTACAACTTTTAAGTATCAGTTTATTTCAAGCACAAAGATACCCCCTCCCCACTATCTCCTGTTAAACCCCATCTGTGGCTGATTGGTCCTTCTCCTCAGCCTCCTGCTGTGCTGCCTTTTCTGCTGCTGCCTTCCTCTTTCTCTCTGCTATGACTGAACTCATGGGGTGAAGAGGTAGGAAACCTGAAAGTCCTGGAAGACATTTAGAGAATTACGTATATGTGCATCGAAAGGATAAATTGCTATCAACAGCCAGTTTATGGTTCTTTCACTGGTAATAAAAACTACTGGTGACAATTAAAGCATATTAATGATAACGAGAAAGTTAACATTTGCAAGTCAGATGCATAATGTTTACCTTTGCGTACTGTCTGCTCTTTTAATTCTGACTCAAACACATTTACATGTATATATATGGTCAGACAGGAGTCCAGATCCTTCCTGCTATGAAATTACAACATGATGTAACCCAACATTCATTACCATGATGGTAACAGACACAACATTGGTTCAGGTCATTGAGGTCACTTTTTGGAGAAGAAAAAGGAGAAGATGAAAAAGCAACTGAGCAAAAACAACATGTTTTCCTTTGGTAAACATAAAGAATCTAAGTGAAGGGTAAGAAAAACTCACCTAGAAGTTGTGCAACAGGCTTGGTGGGTGTGGCCCCCATGGCCAGCCAGTGTTTTAGTCTCTCATAGTTAAAGCTGACAAGTTTTTCGTTGAAGTCATTGGGCAAAGGGTCGTAGGTCCCTAACTGTGGAATTGTGGAGATAGAATAACATGTCAGTCACTTAACCTTCTCCCTGCTGCCTAACCCTGTAGTCAATAAAAATTAGTAGCTAAATGGCAACTTCAGTGTGCTATAGGTTAAGATTGGTACTTGTAGTGTAGAATTAGCACGAGCCTCATCTGTAAGGCTCTTTTTACACAACCACCAACAATTACCTGCAAATATTTGGTAGGATGCTAGGTGGTGCTGCAGTTAAGGAGCCCCACACAACTGTGCAAGGCTCACGAGACAAAAACATCTCAGACCATGCTTTATACATGTCCAGACAAGTTTTGTTTGCATCTCGGTGGGCCTTTACCTTTCACAATGGGTATGAACCTCCTTATTCACTAACGTAATGAACAAAGAGATGTTAAAAGAGATAAAATGTTCTATGTAGAAACAGAAAACACTTGCCTGTTCGTAGATCTCCTTGTCTCTCCCTGCTGGAGTTGGTGCCACCACAATGTGATAGAAAGGTCTGTTGGTGCAACCGCTCAAGGACAGGCGGATGGACTTGGGGCCGAGTTTCCGATACCGCGCTCTCCAACCTAGCAGGGCTGTTGTCAGACGCATCTCGTGTTCTGTACTTTTGTCTTTCCCTACAGATTTGTACAAATCCATTCGTTCATTTGACACTGGGACAATGTTAATTTCGAGCCCTGTTTTAGGGGGCACTTGTAAAGTATAAACTTCAGTATGCTATTGGCAAATTTCCCAACAAATTGGTACTGGTGTACATTTATTTTTGCAAAAGAAACATTTATTTTTGAACATGCATGGCATCCACCCTGAGCATTAGAAGTCACTGCTGACATGAGGACTGTTGCTGTCATCAGAACATTTTATAATTTTACACTCAGTGTGCAATGCCCCCCTCCCCCCAAAATTTATTTCCGATATAAATATTTACAACCTCGCTAAGTCCGAAATACTCTAGCTCTTTCACTTACCTGTATACACAATGAGTAAGTTTCTAGTTCTTTCCCCTTTTCTTTATCAGTTGGATGTAACCACTCCCTTATATTTCCAGAAATTCTGATTAAAAAGCTGAAAGCAATTTTATCCCGACATGGGCGCCGCCATCTTTAATTTTTAGGCATAACAGGCAAACAAAAACGAAAGACAAAATTCGGGCATGACAGATATTTTTTTGCATAAGATGACATCTAAAACCCTCCAAATATCCCACTATCACGTTTTGCTGCAGATCGTTTATTGGATGTTGACATTTCGTCCATCACAGAAAATGACTGTTTTCACCTGTTTGCTTTACGTTTCCCTGCTTTCATTATGACGTAGCGGTGTAGTTTGCGCCCGAGGAGGAAGATTATAAATTTTTTTCTCTCCCTGCTACATGCCGCACCTTTCTGCAGATTTCAGAGGTATTCTGATCATGTTTGATACTTACTGTGTGTTCATTACGTACTCTTTCCTATTCTTGGAACTGTGAAGAGGTTTCCTGTGCCTTGTTTTGTAGGGAAGAGGCGCAAACTTGGAAAAGGTACAAAGGTTCTGTGGGGAGGGGGGCAAAGTTATAAATTACCGGCAAAGCCAAAGCTTTTAAAATTATTAGCGGCGAGAAAACTTATTATATAATGTCACTTGGAGATAAACATGGAAATGATAATGTACGTATTTTTGGTGAATTTGTTAGTATCATTTGAGTGGATAGGTTTCAAGTGACATACACAAATAAATTATATACACTGTATGATAATATTTTGTATAATTGATGACAAAGTGAACTGTGCATATTAAAGGTTACATTTATGGATACGTGTATTTCCTGGCGTCTATGGGAGGGGTGGATATATAATCCCCTAGTTGTAACTCAGGTAGTGTAGACTGAAGTTTGCCACATGAAATAAAAATTCTTAATTTATCTAAAAACTGACACGTTTAAATTGGAGGTTGAAAAAAATGCAGGCCTCAGACTAGTAAAATATCCAGCTGCTTCCGGATGAATAAAACATGTGCTTTTGCCCTTTAAAAAGGTACATTTGTGCCCTGATTGTGATTACATATCAAAACTCTGCATGGGAGGTTTTGCACAGTAACAGCAGCAAAGAAGAATATCTTTACTAAGGGCATATTTCCACCCTTCCCAGGTGCCAGGGAGTGGTAAGTCAACATGAGTTCACTGAAGAGGGGAACCCGGAAGGGTCTACATGTGGACCAATCAGAGCTGTTGTGCAAGAATGGATGTGGTTACTATGGCAACCCGTCCTGGCAGGGGTACTGCTCCAAGTGTTACCGCGACATCGTGCAGAAGTCGCGGCAGCGTCAGATCGAGAGCGACCACGAGTACGCCAAGCGGCTTCAGCAGCAGTACGCCGCCGAGAACCGCGGGAGCCCTGGTGCCAGCGGAGGCTCAGGTAGCGGACGTGAGCTGTCGTTCTCCAAGTTTGAGGAGAAAAAGACTCAGCACACTGGATCAAAAACTCGCACCGTAAAGAAACTGTTTAAAAGCAAATCCTCCAGCACTGTGAAGGGGAGTCCAAGCCAGGAAGGGAAACTCACTCCACAGGCGTCGCCAAAAGAGCCCGTACTCAGCCCTGAGAGCCAGAAAACTGTCAACGAGTTCATAGAAGGGTTACGGATCGTCCGCAGCAGGGCGTTCGCTCAGGAGTTGTACAAGTCTGCCCAGCACTTCATCCACCGCATGCAGAACTCCGCCTACCTTCCCATCGAGGAACAGTCGGAGATGGTGCACGATTTCTACAACAGCATGAGTGAGCGGCTACAGAAGCACCCCACGGCTGGAGGGCTGACAGCGGAACAGCAGGCACAGCTGCTGGACGGGGTGGAGAAACACATCACCACCAGGCTGCACCAGCTGCTCTTCTGCCCTTCCATAACAGATGATGAGCAGAGAGACCTCAAACTCCAGGACCGCATCCGCTCCCTCAACTGGGTCACGCCGCAGATGCTGGACACGGGGATCAAGGAAGACGACGCCCAGGTGCAGGGGCTGACAGACCAGGCCATCGCTGCCATCATCGAGGTGGGATCCCAGCGGTCTCCCCAGGAGAAACTCAGCTGCCTGGTCAGGTGTTGCCAGCACATCTTTGAGCTGCTCCGCGTGTCCCACGATGCTCCCGCCAGCGCAGACGAGTTCCTACCGGCTCTAATTTACATCACCCTACGAGCCAACCCACCCCTTCTTCACTCCAACGTACAGTACATCACTCGGTTTGCTAACCCTAGTAGGCTGATGGCGGGAGAGGCCGGGTACTACTTTACCAACCTGTGCTGTGCCGTTGCCTTCCTGGAGAGTCTAGACGCTCAGGCCCTGTCTCTGAGCCAGGAGGACTTTGATAGATACATGTCGGGAGAAGCCGTCCCTCCCAAACCTCAACAGAACGACCAGGCGGATGGATACACATGTGAGGGCCTCATCCTCATGCAGGAAAACATCAAGGGCCTGAAAGAACTGAACGCAAAACACGACAAACTCATGGAGGATGCCAAACAGCTGCAGCAGGAGATGCAGGGTTTTCGGGACGGTGTGATCAAGCAGATTCAGGACGTGCTTGCCCGTACTCCCCTGGACATCAAGCCCCGCCAGCCGTTACAGTTAGCGGGCACACCCGACTCACCTAACCAACAGGACCTACTTCTGAGCCCCTCTACTGTCGGATATCCACAAGCCGGCGCTGGGCTGCAGGCTGTTACACTGGACACAGAAAACGAAGACAACTTAAACCTGCCACCCCCGCTAGTACCACAGGTGGTATCTACCCAGGCAGCTGATAGCAGTGGGCCCTAAGTTTGTGGAACAGTACAGGGAATTTTTTGTTGTTGTTGGCCACAGGAATGACAAGCCTAATGACATTTATTTTTGTCTCATGTATTGTAAACAGTCGCGCATAGTGCAGACTTGTTTTAATAATACAATGTAAATCCCAAGGAATATGTCAATCATGTCAATGGTTCTTCTGTTGAACCTTGTAATGTGCTCATGTACAGTATTTACGTAATGTCCCATTCAGTGTTATTCTGGTCTACGACTGCTTTATCAAAAGGGAAGGAACTTTGTACAAGATGTAAATATAGAGAAAATCTACAGTATTAGTCATCCATATGCTACAGCTACTCATTTCCATTGCGGTATTTATCACTTCGTCGACCAAATCAAGTACCGTAACTCTGTGAAATACATATTTACACTAAAGCAAGTTAACAGAGATTGGTGGATTGATACACACTAATAAGTCAACTTCTTTTCATCATACAGATGATTTAGAAAAATTATAAGAAAAGATGTATAGTACCAACTACTGAGTACAATACCTTCTTGAAATAAGACACTGTCTTATACCCTCTAATTGTGTAGTAAAGACATGCTGCAGTTAGACAGGTACATGCTGTAGATGTAATTGATAATTGTATGCTGCAGGTTACCCAGAACTAGGGACAATTGACTTTGTAGACCAAAAAGAGCTATAGAAAATGCAAGAGCAAAAATATAGCACAAGCATGATAACGTGCAACAAATACATGTATTAAGGGATTTATAAAAGCTGTATCTGTGCTAACAGTGAATAAACTTCAGAGTAGTTGTTACACACACACATGATGTTTGTTTTATATTGTGTGTATTATTTACACCATGAGAGGTATAGAGAAGTATTCTAAGGACAATTTATTAGGTTATTTATTCAACAACCTTTGGGTTTTTGTGATTTATTCAACAGCCTTTGGGTTTTTGTGTTGGTGATGTAAAAAAAAGCCCCCACACAGCTGGCTGTTATATTATAATAAAGTACTCTTCATACAGTCTCTTGCCAACCTGTTGAAATAATTTACATACTGTACTATCAAACTACTAGTATGTTTCTGTTTACTGCCATCATTTAAATGATTCCTGTTATATTCACAATGTGCTAGTGAAAAACCCTACTTTAGTCAGGTAAAAGCACTGGGTACTACATTTCATCTTCCTCTGTATGAGTACATTTACTTGCTCCATCATACCAGTACAGTCAAACCTGCCCAAGTCAGCCTCCAAGTGGCCTGCTCAAGAAGGGCACCTGTCCAAGAAGACCACTTTACTTTGGTCCTCTGGATGGCCTTCTTTGACAAGTTTGACTGTGCCGTGAAAGTATGCTACAACTTTTATTATTCTATTCACAAAGAAATTAGTATAATCCTAATGTAGTTGATTTAACTGTCAGGTTGAAGCCATGTCGAGGAGACACGACATCCGTGGGATTGACCACGACGCGGGCTACGTGCTGGACGAGGAGTTTGAGGAGTTGAGCGCGGGGAGCTCGGACGGAGAGGATGAGCTGGACGTCCTGCTGCACGGGACGCCCAATCAGAAGAGACGTCTGATCCGACACGCGCTGAGCGGGGACGAGGGGGAGTCCAGTGAATCAGAGGACGACTTTGAAAAGCAGATGAACAAAGAACTGGATGATGGGATGACGTCAAAGGTGAGTTGATTGTTGTGGATGACCTCTCCAAAATCTGATACAAGACTGCATTCTGTTTTGCATTAGGGGACTTTTGCGACATGTTTGTTTTCTTCTCAATTTCAAAAAGATCGACATCTGTTTGACTATTTGCTCACATTTTGACCAAATTAGCCTTTTTATTCAATTTTTACTTCCTTTTTGCTCTAGGAAACAGAGATGTTGCAGATGTTTGAACAACAGATGGCTTCAACTTCTGCAACTGGAGGTCAGGGTCCAGGTCAAGGGTCAGGTCAGGGGTCAGTTGCTGGAGGGAAAACAGCAGCTGCCGGCAAGGCTACACAGCAGACAGTGGCAGACGAGTTTTATAACGACATCTACTTCGATAGTGATGAGGACAGTGACAACGAACAGCCACAAGATGTGTCTCATGGGGTGAAAGGTCATGACGTTAAAAGTCAGGAGGCCAACCTGGGGTCAGATGGACAGAGCATGGCACAGAGTGATGTAACAGATGAGAGTACCGACAGCGAGGCTGTGGGGGCTGATGGGAAGGGGAAGAAACGCAGGAAGAAGCACCGAGTGATGACAAATGATGAGCTGTTTTATGACCCAAACATGGACGCCGACGATGAGAAATGGATGACACGACAGCGGGAGAAATACCGGGCCATCAACGAGCAGAAGGCAAGTTCAGGCGCGGGACCGAGCGCAGGCAAGCCTAAGGCACAACCAGCACCAAACAGTGACGCGATTCTCAACTGTCCGGCTTGTATGACCACCCTGTGTATCGACTGCCAGCGCCATGACCTGTACCAGACCCAGTACCGCGCTATGTTTGTACTCAACTGTAACGTCATCCGTGCCGAGCGTCTCAGGTACCCTAAGAAGAACAGGGGGAGTAAGAAGCAGAAGAAGGGTGTGGAAAGGTTGGAGGCAGCAGAACCTGGTGCAGATGGGGACGACATCTACCATCCCGTCAAGTGTGGCGTCTGCAGCACAGAAGTGGCCGTGTACGACAAGGAAGAAATCTTTCACTTCTTCAATGTGCTTGCAAGTCACTCATAAACAGAGAACAACTACCCTAGTTAACCATGCTGTGTATGTATTTTTGAAAAATACATGAAGTTTATATTAGTAGCCATGGTTTAAATGAGGGAAAGCGAAGGTTGTGACCTCAAAGGAAGTGGAAGTTGAAGCAGATATTGTACATAACATTACATTTGTACCTACATACCTACATATAAAACTGCAAAGTACTTCAACAACAGTAAAATATCAAATCTATTCATCATATATTAAGTCTCTGTTTTGACAACAACATTCTTTTGTCTTATACTAATCATTTTATGCTAATGAATGGAGAATTGGCAGTAGCCTGACTAAATAAATAGTAAATTCATATCATATTGTACAAAGTGCAAAAGAAATATTTTCAGATCTGGACTTGTAACGTTATCTCCTGTAGAGCACAGTTGGATATTTTTTGTCTACATTAGATACTAGTAGTACATGTACATGTATTCTCAACATTCCATCTTTCCAAGTTTTGTAAGCCAGATTTACTCATTAAGTTGTTTTGATGACAATAAAGCTATGTTATTAAGTTGTACATTATCTTCTCTACCCAGATAAGACCAGTTGTATTATTGTTAGCTAAGTATGAAAGTTTTGCAGTACCTTAGAATGCCTTCAGGGGGCCATATTAATATAGTCTCTTCTTTATTTTGCCAACATCTAAAATTACCAAAATATCCACCCACGACGTCTCAAATTCTGTTAGTGGAAAGAGGGGAGGGAAATTATTTCTATTGTGAAGTCGTGCCTCCTATACTTTCTTGGAAGCCGACAACACAATACGTCACTACTCTATAACAAATATAGAATGACGTCACTTCCTGCTTTACTGGGAAGTCGTGTCGGCGAAGTTTCATATCCGGCGCCGCGGCTGCCAGGCATTCACTTCCGCAAAATATTACGGACTGGTACAACTCCGCAGCAGGAATGGAGCTCCCACGGATGCACGCATTTCTCATGGCCCTCGTCTTCACATGCGTCAAGGCAGCGACGAAAGACGGTAAGTAACCTGTTAACGTAACCAATGGTCAAACGTTATATCAAGGAGGTTAAAAGAGACATTTGTGAAGCAACGCACGAACTTTTGGCCAAGGACATATGTCATGGGGTGAGGCGAAACGGTACTTCAGTTTCTGTCAGTATGTGGATGATTCCCCATATTCTTAGCCGTAATCAATACTTGTCGGAGGAAAATTTATGTGTCTGTGACGCTTTACAGTTGTAACGTATGTGGCAAATGAATCTAAAGTTTTAGATACAAAAGAAAAAGTTCTAGTAATGTAGTTCTAGTAATAGGCTGTTGAGAAATAGCCTGAATAGTAATGCTGGGTTCGGTAGTTCATCTTAATCTCCAAGCAGATGTCTGGTGGCAAAAAAAATACGGTCAAAACTGGCCATCTGGAGAGAGTCCTCAACCGACCAGACTCTAGATGGCGCCAGTTCTAAATGTTAATAACTCGGAGATTAGAGACACCTATCGCAGTTGTGTATGGAAAGGGCAGTTATAACGGGTTTATGGAAAAGGCAGGGCTGTTAACTTTTATTTACCTGGTCTATCTAAATTTCTGGTCACTGAACTGTGTTGTTAGATCATAACACAAGCCGAATTAATCATGCATGACTAAATATGATATTAATATCCCTTTCTAAACAGTTGACATGGGGTCCCACTGCGGCCCACTTGGAAACGGGGTGGATGTTTCAGACTCAGATGCTGGAGACCTGTTCTGGGATAACTACCCCAACTCAGAAGACTGTATGGTAAGATGATCTCTTTTTTTGTTGGTTTGTTCAAAATCCCTGATTCCTTGTTCATCATTTCCTTTTTCTGTTGTATGCAGGATGCTTGATTGTAGGCATGTTAATTTGTTAACTCATATCACTGCCTCCTTGCAAACTACAGTTGTTTGTTACTCCGTGAAGGAGGTCAGGACCTCCGGACGGAGTGTTGTAATCGGCTAATTTTTCATGTTCGCAGTCAAAACACTGGGTTCTCTTCGTGTAATCGGCACGCAATTTTATACGCCGTCTGCGGGCATGCCCGTGTTGATGCACGAATGTGTATTTTTGCCGTTGCTGCTTTCGCGGTCAATGTAATATCGCAGACGCACCCCTACAATTACGAGGCGAATTGGAACGGTCCAGAAAAACGCGTTGTTTGGAATAGCGGGGGGGAGGTAAAAGTTCATGCAGATACGGGGTGGTTTTTATAAGTGGTTCCAGATGTTTTTGCCCATGGTTAAGAGATGCCAAGTTTTTTGGAAGATGTTCGCAGCCAAAACGCATTCTGCCGTACGTCGCATATCTGTGTAATTTCGCATGTGGTGTTGCATTATGTCCGGGATGATGCACGTCTTTTTATTTTTACCGTAGCTGTTTTGATATTGGAGTAAATGGTTATTTTCGAAACATCCCTACTTTTACAATCCTGTGGAATAGACCGTAGGTTTAGGCAGTTGTCTGGTAGCAGAGGTACTGTAAGCAGATATCCTGGTTATCTGGCCGGCGGTAGTAACACTCGCGGTGCTTACCGCCACTGTTGCTGGAATTTGGCTTGTTCCAGGCGCGCTTAATTAGGTACAGGCACCGTAAGACGGTGGGGCTGTCTTTGTTACTAGACACGACCATGATAGTCCGATCTTTATGTGAATGCAATGATTGTGTGTGTGTAATTAAAATGAAGTTAGAACTTGAAGCACAGTATCTTTACACGCCCTGGGAGCAGTAATGGATTTAGCTCTTTGTATGTTTTATGCTTGTGACGCGCCCTCATTGTATTAACCGTTGCCTAATTATAATGTCTGCACAGTAGGTCTGGCGTTGACGCTTGGGATTTTGTTGAAATATAATAAAACTTCACGGAGAATTGTCGCCTATGGCTTCTTGTTTATCTTTCCAGTTTGTCAACAGGATTTCTAAAAAAAAGAAAGGTATACAAGTGCATAAATTTCCATGATTTTTATTCTGGCACTCACATACCACAATCTTTGTTTACCCAGGTTACGCTGGTAGCGGCTGTAGGCAAGCGGATTTTTCTACAGTTTACAGACATCCATATTGAGGGAACTAGTGGCTTTTACGGCTGCTCAGATGTGCTGTATGTTAAGGTATGAACTTTGAAAAGATTGTACTATTATATATCCTAGTGTCCTGCGGAGCCCAACAATTGTTGTTTTGAACATACAGTACAATCTATATACAGCACCCTGTATAGCTATAGGTACAACTTGGGGGTATTTCTCCTTCAACACATCACACCGTAGCGAAGTAACTATGCCACTGCAGAGAAGTCAGGGGTCTATGACCTAATTAAGACAGGAAATTATTTGAAAATACACATGTATTGTGTAAAAAATGTCAGCAGGGCAAGGATTAAGGTATGAACTTTGAAAAGACTCTCAATAGTAGTCTGATCATGATAAATGCACATTATTACCACAATTTACTTCTTTTAATTTCAACATATTGGTACAATTATTTCACATTTCTGACTTTTTGTATCATCCTAATGTTACATGTACATATTGCAGCTTTAACTAATGTTACACACAGAAGGAAGTTGCTTCTACTGTTTTAATTGTGGATTTATTGTTTTTGCACAGAGCGGCTCTTATGGAGGCAACTTCTATCCTGATTCAACCTGGGAGACGGTTTGTGGAACGTCCCATCCTGATTTTGATGCACACAACCGTCATGTGACCCTCAAGCTCATCAGTGATGCGCACAGCACTGGACACATCCGCATTCGCTACACAGTTTACCACTCCGCACGTACGTATCAGAACTTTAGATTCAACATGATAATACTACTGGGTCCCTCTATCTGAAATGTTCTGAACTCCACAATTTGAAACATCTTCATTCTTTGTAATGATGATATTTTAGGAAGCGGACACTCACATATACATGCAGTTACACAAATACACAGTCATACAATCACACGCATGCACAAGCAGTGACACTCACACAGACACAAACACACGTTAAGTAGGGCCATGATGATATAGTTATGATGATAGCTAATCATGTCTCCATTTACTACAGATTATGATGGCTGTGACCAGTACACATGCGTCTATAACGACAGGTGTATAGACGACAGTCTGATGTGTGATGGTGTCAACCACTGCGGAGATGACAGCGATGAGGAAGATTATTACAATGGCGGCTGTGGGGGTAAGTTTCTACATCTTGTGACATGAAAAACATTCTAAAACTTCAACATTTCTTTGGGTTTTTGGCAAGATGTTTGTATACAAATTAACTGTATATTACTGTAATGCTTAGTCCCTTGTTCACATCTCTGATATTTTTTTTTTCAGTTGTAAAGCACAGAAAGATGGTGAAGATCATTGGAATCATTGCAGGCTGTGTGGGTGGACTGATCCTCATCATTGCAGTCATTTGCATCTGTTATAGAAGGAATAAAAGGTAAGTAGCATGTTTATAGATGGTATAGTGCTGCTATAGTTAATATAGAAGTATATACAATGTATGTGATACAGTTAAGAGTCATAAGCAGGATATACAGGAGGTACAATGTATTTTGCCCTTTAAATACAAGTATATGTTTCAAACAAAACATTGAATGCCTCTCTGCTACTAGTCATCAATGACATTTAATGAGTCTTTCCTTTTTCTTTACAGACCTGCAACGACAACATCTGGTGTTCCCATGGCAACGGTACCTCAGACAGCCAATAGGGGACCAGCACAGGTGTCAGAAGGCAGGTCCTACTCACCACCACCAGCATATGATGAAGTGGTGAAGTCTTCACCTCCCAGGGACAGTGGAAATGCTGTGGTATAGAAAGGCTATAGTGTCCTTGGGTACAGACATGTATGATTCAAGAAATGTAGTCGCAAGAATGCCAGTTTTAAAACCTTGTTTGCTGTGACATTTGTAAAATAAGAGATTATTAATTTATCGCTTGAAATAAGTGTATGTATTGGTGCCATCTTTCTTAAATGTACAACACAATCCAGCAAGAGTAATACATAGTAGTATGTTTTATAAATCTCTAAAGTACATGTACGCGATATTTTGTATTATGAATGTTATATATTTTACTTTTGTTGATTCTCATTGGCTGTACATATCTGACTGTAACGTTACATAGTCATAGCTCGTTAATTGACAATGTGACTCTAAATACAGGTAGTTTCTGTTGAGTTAAGATATCAATTGAAACACAGAGGCTTTGATGACAAAACACACTACAGCTTAATCTGAGAGTTTGAGCCATGAAAGACGTCCAGTATTGTAGAATGCTGTGTTCATTGGTAATTATTTTTATGCTGTTGCTATTGTTGTTGCTGATGATGTTTTTGAAACACAGAAGAGCTTTTAAATAAGTGATAGAAAATTCTATGAAAAAATGCTGCATGTATATTGGATTCGAAAATAATGTTAAGATTATGAAGATTTAAAATGATGAAACACAGTTGCATATCTTTATGTATTTTTGTAGATTACAGAACCACATATGCATTATCTGCATGTCCTTTGGAATTGTCTTATTACTAATGTCAAATTTTAAGGTCAACAAGTGTTTTTCTAGCCTGGTATCCAAACGAGTCCTATTTACTCTCTATTTGCGAGAGAACAAAAGAGACTCAGCAGCTAAATTATGTTTGGATGCCAGGCTACTAGTGTTAAGGTGACATGCTTTTTTTGTACGGTTTTGTAGAGAAAAATTCAGAAATAGTTTTTAATGAGCTTAGGTTTGAAAAGAATGTGATTACATGTATTTTTACTTGGGTTCAAAGTAATTGTCTTGTCTACTGAAATAATTTAAGATGATCTGAATGATCTTCTTGATAACTTGATGGTATTTTCATGTAAGATGATTTGATGTGAAAACTGTGAAACATTATACAAGTATTATAACATATGCGACAAATCATTGTTCACCCAAGGGTAAAGATACAAACTGCAGTAGCAACAGTTTGCGTGCACGGTCCAAAAGCGCCCAGAAGCGAATAATTTACAAAGTACACTGCTGAATATTGCTGGTTTACATGATTGGCATCTGGTCGGTTTCGCGTCTCTGTGTGCATGTTATCAACAGTAAATACAGATATATCTCGTTATTGTTGCGATAGCCTTCGTGTTTTACCATAATAGCAGTGTTCCGAGTGTGCGGTCTTCTCGGGGAAGAAAAACTGGCCTTTCTACTCATCTCACAAAGAATCTTATCGCCCGCGTGATCTGCGACAAACGTCCTTGACCTGATACTACCCTGTAGGAACCAACAAAACAAACATGGCTGACATCAAAACGCCCAAAGAGAAGTACGTGTGTACCCTCAGCCCAGCTCTGCAGCAGAAGGCAGAAGCTGAACTGAACGAGAAGCCGGCAGGGAGGGACCGTGACATCCAAGCACTGCGGGACATGGTCACCGCCCGTCCCGACCTCAACGCTTGCACAGACGGTGTCTTTCTGCTACGTTTCTTACGGGCGAGGAAGTTTGACTGTGATCGTGCATTCAAACTGTTACAGAACTATTACCGAGTTAGGACCAGTACTCCTGAGATCTTTGAGAACCTTCTACCCTCAGCAATAAGACACGTGCTGGAGAAAGGCGTGGTCACGGCGCTGCCAGGGAGGGACAGGGAAGGAAGGAGCGTCATCATCTTCAGGCCAGGGCGGTGGGACCCTGACGACTGGCCCATATACGACAACGTGAGAGCAGCGATTCTATCCATGGAACTGCTGCTCGAGGAGGAAGAAACGCAAGTGAGCGGTGTAATGTTTGTACAAGAAGAGAGTGGCGTCACAGCAAGACATGCGTACCAGGTGGGACTGCGGTACGTGCGTACAATCACCAACATTTTCCAGGACGCCTTCCCCGCACGTATCAGGGGTGTTAACTTGGTGAATGAGTCGTTTCTGGTCGACGCCATCTTTGCCATCTTCCGACCGTTCCTCAAGGACAAACTCAGGCAGAGGATAAAACTACACGGCAGAGTGTACGAGACCCTACACGAGCTGACGGGTACTGAAATTCTCCCCACGGAGCTCGGCGGACAAGGCGGTCCGCTGGATGAGATGGCCAAGCAATGGACGGAGAAGTTGATGCGTTTTGAATCTAGATTGCCGGAGTACAACAAGTATGGGGAACATTGATACTCCTGCTAGTGCAGCTACACATGGTCTTTTTTATCAACAACTTATTGTCCCGAGCCATGGTCTTTATTCGAATTCACAAGAAGTCACAAATATTCACAGTATATCAAGGTGTCAAGCTATGTCTTATGGCATAAAGACTTATGGGCTGGGTTCTTTCAAAAGGCACGATCACAAACTCAATGTTATGTATTTTTATGTGCGAATGAAGAAATAAAGAGACGATAATAAACATTTACTAAGGTTCTTGTTCCTACTTTTAATGTATAATGTGTGACTGACAAGCCGGGTTGTTTGCGTGAACGAAAAATAAAAGAATTGTACACAAATAGGGCTCAGCATGGTTAATTTTCTAAAACTTTTTTGTGTGTTTTGCTGTCTTACATGTAATAATAAGACTTGTTTCGCCAGAAGAATCCTTTCAGTCACAAATTGCGGACGCTACGGTTATATTCGGTCATATCATGTACCATTATGATACCAATATAATAACTTTGTGATGTTGTGGTTGATCCAAAACATGTTGAAACTATATATATATGTTACATATTTTTAGTTTAACAATCGTCGATAAAGAGAAAAGAACACTAATAAAGATCGAAATACTCAAATGTAATATTCTACACGTATGTCGCGTGAAATTTACTCTTGTTGTACCTAGTCATTAGAGACGTATTCCTACAGGCATTTGTCGCCTGTAATGTTTGTAAGTTGTCACGTACTAACTAGAAAATGTTCTTATCACGATCAAAAGATAAATGGGTCAAACAAAGATCATTTATTGGAAAATTACTAACGTGTGTTTTTCTCCTAAATTTAAAAAGTTGAATGATGAGGACAGAAAAATTAAGAATTTCGAGATGAAAGCCATAATTAAGTCATCGTATTTTTCAGGCATGCATATGTGGTGATTTCCTATTGGCCTGTCATTTATCTTATGTTAACTTGATTATCGAATGCAAATTTTGCTCATGATTTACAGGTGGCACAGGCACATGTGCGTGAAAGACAAGTTTCCAAGATGGCGAGTGCACATGGAAGGGAAGAACGAGCGGGTAAAAATTTCGCCCAGGAAGACGCGCCACGTCCGCTCATTAGGTAAGCTGTACTTTAAGTTGTCGTAGATACTCTCCGGACTATTGTAGATAAATCTCATTTCAGTTAAATGAAGCAAAAAGATAGAATTTCGAAAATAAGTTGCGGCAATTGTCCCCCACGAGTTAACACTGTAACGGAGGGGGCCCCGAGTTCGCCACTTTTTAACATAAATCACACATTTCAAAGGAAAATTCCATGAACCTCTTGATGATATATGGCCATGTCGAAAGAGTTTTTGTTAGACTTTTTACATACGTGTTACCATGGTGATTGATCGAACGTTGAGGTCAAGGGTCAACCTTCTACTTTGCGACGTAACTAGGGCGGTAGTTCCAAGGGTGTACCCCGAGTTCGCCACTTTTTATAATTTGTCAGGAAGTATCAAAATATGGATTGAAAGTGTTTTTTAGCCTTTGGATTTTATTCCTAGAGTTAACGCTTACTCGTTTGGGGGTAGTAAAACAAATACTTTGTGGCGCATCGGAACGAAACGCGCCATTTATTTGGACATAACAAGGTCGGTCCTCTGCGACGTAACTGTGGGTCATGTTCGGCGTTCCAGAGTCCAGCATATTACTGAACCATGAATATACAAGTGGGCTTTTGAGTATTTATTTGATATAATGTTACTTTTATCATGCTACCAACGTAAAACTGAAACTTACAGCTTTGATCAAGAGTCCATACCAACATCTATTTTAACGGCGCATAAGTGAAGGGTTGCAATGTGTTGCGTACGCTGCTCACGGCAACTTGTTCCAGGAAAGAACGTACAGTACAACCTACGTTACAGTTGCCACTTTGTCGCAGGAATACCCTGAAATTAACGCGGGAATACGGCTAAAATGTCCTTGGTTAGATTTGGCAGGGAGAAGCGTAATTACGAAAAATACAGCGTGACTTTTGCGTTAATACCACGAGATCCTGCTACACTCATATGCGCAGCACGGCAACAGAGAAATGGAGGGCGGAGCACTCTTTGTGGATTTCCCCGCCCCTTCTCACCGTCACGACGCGAGGTCCTACGTTTCAGCAGCATTCCCATCGGCCTGAACTGTTGCGGGCGTCCAGACACCAGCACCCGTCGAGCGGGAGCCTGGAGAAAGAAGTTGTTGTTGTTTTTTTTTGCTACCGTCCGGGGACGTTATTTTTCCCTACATTTTTTTTTTTTTGGTTTGTGGATGGGGGCAGTGGATTTGGTGATATAATAGCATCAAGGAGAGTAGACTACGTTGTTGTTCACACCTCCAAACTCAATTATTCCCTTTTCCTGTTTTCAGGTACGCGGTTTTAAATGAAGTACTTTGCGGCGCATCGGAACGAGAGACGTGGGTAAGTTTCCGCCGACGTAAGGGGACTGTTCTTGCCGGTGCCGCGGCGCCGCTCGCCACGTTCTAAACCACGTCAGCGCTGATTGACCGCCCATCGGTGAGCAACAAATGATCGAGGCGGAGAAGTGGGAATGGTCGGAGAATTTATGTGCTAGCGTATTTAAAATTTGACACCGAAACCAAAACAACAACGAAGGGCTGCCGGGACATGCAATTCTGAACGGAGAGAGCGAAAAAGTTCTTTAAAATATCTCGTTTAGTAAACTACTGCTCATGTCACAAAATCAAAGGAATAAAAACTTCCCAGCATGAAAAGCTTCTGGCCGCTGGCTTCCCACGTTGCGTTGCCAAGACGACGGCACGTCCTGGCCAGACAAAGCGGCGTCACGCCCACAGCAGCACGCACATGGGCCCCACCCACCGGCGGGCAGCAAAAGATTTCAAAGACTTCGCCCGAAAAACCCTATCATTGTAGGGCCATGCCGTGTACACCTACCCAGCATTTTAACGTAGTACTGGCTGGTATAGTCCCGCTACAAAATAATTTTCTGCGGCATCTATTAATATTTAAAGACATTTGTGATACGAAGTGAAACGATTTCTGTCATTTGAACCTTTGTAACGGCTTGGATATAACATTTGTTGAATATTTCTGTGTTTCACTAGAGCCGAAAGTGCATTAGAACTGACCATCAGGTGAAGCACAACTGTCATGTTATAACGTTATTCACTACGTTACGACGATCAAGAACAATCACGGCTTGCGGACCATTTTAAATCTTACCACTCATAACCCTCTTAGAATTGCGTTAATAATTACGGGGGTATTTCTTTTCGGCCGGAGTTCAACTGAGATCGGCGGCTGGCTGGCGACCGTCCCGTCAGCATGACCGAACACCGCGACGTGAGTGACCTAGATTATCTTACCGTGCGTCTTCTCGTTTTGCCGCAATTTCGTGTCAATATCGATGATACACAAATGGAATACGTTCCTTTATTAAAGTTGAACTTTTATTTCCACTCGTCAACATAATCATCCGACATGTTATGTACGAATCGATGTCGTGCGCTTCAATTCTCCTTGCCGGTTTTCGCTATATTCGTCGGTAATCGTTGGATCTGTCGGGGAAAACCTCAAATAAGGTAAGCACCCCGACTTTGGCGGCGGCCTGAGACACTTTTTGTATTTTGAAAAGTTTTTAAAAGTGCGTACTTTATTCGGACATTTACGGTAATAAAGGTTTAATATTGTTTACCACGATGTAAGACCTCCCAAACTCAGCCGGTAGCCACGTAGCTGAACACATTGGACTATGAGAAGTTTACAAACAAGTTTAGGGGAGAGAGCAGCCGCACCGATAATACGGCAGCGGCGGTAAAAGGAGAGGTTTCTCTCATGAAATGTAACTCTATGGATATTATATCCTACATATCATTCTCTTGTGTCTATAGACTCGATTTGTCAGACTATTTATAGATAATGTAACGAGATCTTACCTTTTCATGTCTCCATTCTTCAAGTTCGGAAATTCGAA